AACATATATATACAATGGTCAATTATTAATTAACAATTTTCTATTTACATTCGTGATTTGAGATAAAAGAATTCTTATGATATTTAAGTTTCTGTTACGCTATTGGTTCCTAACATTCAACCAATTAAAAAGGGATATAACTGCAGAGAGTAGGAACGTAGTGGCGTTGCTGTAGAATATGAATTCAAAAGAACAACGGTTAATGTGAAAATTTGTTTTTGTGCAGTACCTACGCGTTTTTGAGTTATTTTAAACGTTAGACGTTTAAAGTTCTTTAAAGTTGTTATAAAGAAACAATAAATATGGCTGATTTGTGTCAATGGGAAGTAGTGATGCAGAACACTATTGTAAATATTCGGAGTACATTATTACAATTGCACAAATTATGGGAAGAAATAGGATTCACGGAAGAAGCGCGTTCAATATATTGCGAACAGGCTTTCACCCATATAAATGATCTGCTGCGTGATATGGTTGCAGAAACGGAGTTAAAAAAAGAAAGAATAATAAGCAATGTTAAAGAATTAATGGAGCAAATTGCTATATTAACCAATGAATTAGGAACAGATATTGTAACTACAGGATATGAACATTTACCATTGAAAGAAGTGGAGCAACTGCTGTGCACTGATTTGCAGAAACTACAATATTGCAAAGAACAACGTGTTACACATTTCAAGGAATTACGTGCAAAGGAGAGATCACTTTGTAAAGTGTTAGGCAGTCAACCTATTAATATGGAAGAAAAATTACCTTCAGAGGAAGAGCTTAATAGTTTCAAACTTTATCTAGAAAAACAAGAAGGTGAAAAAAATCGTTTAGAATCAATTTTTAAGGAAATGCGTAGAGCAATTATTAAAATGATGGATGATTTAGGCATATCTCCATTATCAAATTTTGAACATTTAATATATAAAGATAGTGAAAATTTTGTCTTTAGCAGTAACAACATGACTAAATTAAGAGAGCTTCGAGATAAACTGAAAGAAGAAGTGGATACAGCAAGAGAACATACAGAAGATATTAAGAAGGAATTAATTGCATTATGGAAATATCTGGATGAACCTGAACACATTTGTCAGGCATTTTTAAACAGTTATATAGGATATAGTGCAGCAACTATAAATGCATTAACTGCAGAACTAGACAAATGTAAAGAGAAAAGGAAGCAAAATATTGCTAAATATGTAGCACAAGTAAGGTCTGAATTGGTCAAGTTATGGGACTTGTGTAAATTCAGTGAAGGACAAAGGAAGCAATTTATACATTTTAATTCTCATACATATACAGAAGATTTATTAACATTGCATGATCTTGAAGTAAAAAGAGTACAAGAGTTTTATGAGACCAATAAGTCTATATTTGAACTCTTAGAAGAACGTAGTAACTTATGGACAAAAATGAAGGAGTTATTACAACGTGCAAATGCTCCAGATCGTTTTTATAATCGTGGTGGTCAATTATTAATGGAGGAGAAAGAGAGAAAGACAATTCAGAAAAAATTGCCAAAAATTGAAGAGCAACTAAGGAATTTAATAACAGAACATGAAACTATGTATGGGGAAGCATTTACTATAAATGGTAGGTCCATAGAAGAGCTATTAAAAGAATCATGGGAAAATTTGAATGAAGAAAAGGAAACAATAAAAAAGGCTAGAAAAGAGGCAAAAGATAAGTCAATTAGAAAAGTAACACCAAGTGTTAAAAAAATTGTTTTAAGTGCATCAAAGAAAACACCAAGTATATTAAGTACACGTCGCCATACCCCATTGAATTCTACAAAAAGGAGACTGTTATTTACTCCTTCTCCAAATACATCTGCAAAACGTAGAAATGTGAGCATAACATCAAATGGTTCCAAAATTAAAAAAGGTGGAAAAGTTTTAAAGAAAACATTACAATCTGGAAATAAAATAAATAAAAGTATTCATAGGAAAGAAAATTCTATATCACAGAGTTCAGCTGCTACAGATACAACATATAGTCTATTTAAAGAACATTTAGAGGACAGGCAAGAACTACGTAGTTCTTTATTGCATGATAAAATATTAGCAAATGCAGCTAAATCCAAAATGAAGACACCAATAAGAACACCTGCTAAGCCATTACGAAAAAATTTACCAATAGCAACAACACCAATAGTAACTACTCCAAAGTTGTCACATTCACAGTTACATAAATCACCTCGCAGCCCTAGAATTGTACCACCAACAAGACTTGCCACTGTATCAACACCCTTGCCCATAATTTTTTGAAGTAGTATAAAGATCATAATAATTATTTTATATAATTACTAATATCATTTATAGGCTAAAACACTAAACACCTTTCACATATTTTAATTTTATTATCAGACAGTATTTTAAGAGTAACATAAATAGAATTTCCTTACAAAACTTAATTATTAGGGTAGTTGTGCATCACATACTTTTATTTGATAACTGCACTTGCATATTTTATTAAAAAAATAATATTTCACGTTATTTCTTTGTATGTATATTGCTATTTTGTTAATACGTCTTTCACGTTTTAGTATTTAATTATAATCTATTGAATGCATATATATTCAGTATGAATTAGAATATAAATAATCATTACATACATAAATTAGTGTATCTGTAAAGTCACATTGTAAATAAATCATCTATTTCCTAGATATCGTAATATTGCACTTTATGATTGCATATGAAATATTAAAATTTATCAATTATTTTCAATAATAGTAACGGACACAAAATTATTGGCATAAGCTTTCGTGTTGTGTGACATTTCGGGTAACATGTCATTTATCTTTTTCTATAATTAAAAAATATATATTCTATGCATTTTGTACCCAAATTAAAATACTGTAAAAAAGTTCTTTTAAATTATCAATATTTATACTACTGATCCATATATAAAGGTAGTATATATATACGCATATAAATCAATGTATTCACGAAGTCCTATACTACATATAACGAACAGCTACTTCCGTTTCCGCTGGACGCCATAGAAGCAATAGTTGTTGTGGATTCACTTTGTATCTAGGTTATATTAGCAGTGATTATTAAATATTTCGATTTATGTACACTTAGTTTTAAGTGCAAGATTGAAACTTCAAAATGGGTGACATAAAATCTTTCTTTCATCAATGGTGCGCAAAACATAGCACGGAACCGCAATTTGACGTGAGGCCAACGGGTATTGTATAATTGTTTTTTAAGCGGTATAAGTTTAAATGCACGTTAAAAACAAATAATTTTACAGGGCCAAAACATCGGCAGCGTTTTCTCTGCGAATTACGTGTATCTGGATTTGATTATGTGGGTGCAGGAAACTCAACTAACAAAAAGGATGCACAAGGAAATGCAGCTAGAGATTATGTTAATTATTTAGTTCGTACAGGACATGTGAATCCTAGTGACGTTCCAAGAGAAACTGTTAACAACCAACAAAATGACTCAGCACCTATTATTGTTAAAATAGAATCTTTAAATTGCAAATCTGTGTTTCAAGATGGGATGGGTCCCAATGACATAGGTCATGCATATAGGGCTTATAATGAACATGGTCAAGGCAATTATACTTACATGGATAGAATAGCAGATCAGAAAAAAGTTGAAGATGCTGAAGATGTTGATGTGAATTCTGGAATTCATGGGAATTGGACTATAGAAAATGCTAAATCAAAACTTCATCAGTTTATGCAAACTAACAAAATTAATGCTGATTACAAGTATACCTCACTTGGTCCAGATCATACGAGGTATGGATTGTTTCAATGTAGCCATTTACTTTTGCATTGGATTGGACTAGTCACTGCAATATCATGATGCTACTTGAAGTCTCAAATTGTGTTAAAGATTTGTTTCAAGATGATATGAAACAAATTGCATGAGTGATTTTTGTACCATTTGAAATTCAACAAGACCATTTTAGAGTACACAACTTACTTATACTTAATGCTGGTACAAGAGAAAAAATTGTTTTCTCTTGTGCACAGATGAAACTGCTGTTAAACCAAAACTTTTATTGAAATGATTCAATAACGGTTTTGGTGCAATCACTCATATAAATGTATTGTAATGTACTCCAATGTGGTCTTGGATATTTTCAAGTGGTAAGTTGAATAAATGTAACAATATTTATTTTTTATGTTTATTATGCACAAATATGAACATATAAAGATATTAATAATAAAAATTTTTGTTAGGAGTTTTATGGCTGAAATGACATTTTATGTAAAACAACTTGGGAGAAGTAAGTTCTTATATTATTTCAATAAATGTTTATGATTGCATTTTACATATAAAAAATGTTAATTCAAGAAAATTTTAGATATCACTGGCCGTGAAACTGGTTCAAATAAGCAAACTGCATCAAAAAGTTGTGCTTTGTCCCTTGTTAGACAATTGTATCATCTTGGTGTTATAGAGCCATTTAGTGGAACTCTGAAGAAAAATAAAGAAGCAGAACAAATAAAACCGTATCCAGTAAAAATTTCACCGGATTTGGTGAATCAGATACATGATGTTCTATTAAGTTTGAATATACAGCCTGTTACAGTGAAGTCAGAGATGGTAATATTTATTGATGTTAAAATTATTTTTATCAATTTGCACTATTACTTTATTTAGTACATTAAACTATAAGTTTTGCAATATTAATTTGTATTGTAGATGTCATCTTTAAACCAAGATTTGAATCAGTCTGGTAACACTATTTCTTTATTAACAAATCAAGTATTAGATGATTTTATTTCATCTGTACCACAACCTGCTGGAGTAGTAAGTTGGTCTCCACCACAACAAAATTGGAACCCATGGACTGGTTGCAATATAGACGAAGGACCATTAGCTACAAAGACATTAGAGCAAATGTCAGAAGAATTATTATATGAACAACGAGAAAGATTGCAACAAGATGATAGTCTTCAAAAGAGTATTAAAGAAAGATCTAATTTACCAGTCTTCTCAATGAAAAATGAAATAATGAATGCTATCAACGAAAATCCTATAATCATTATTCGAGGAAATACAGGCTGTGGTAAAACAACTCAAGTATGTCAGTTTATTTTAGATGACTATGTTGCATCAGGTCAAGGTGCATTCTGCAGTATTGCTATTACACAACCTAGAAGGATATCTGCTGTATCTGTAGCTGATAGAGTTGCTTCAGAAAGATGTGAAAATTTGGGACAGTCTGTTGGTTATTCTGTAAGATTTGAATCTTGTTTGCCAAGACCTTATGGGAGCATAATGTTCTGCACTGTTGGCGTACTTCTACGAAAATTGGAGGGTGGTTTAAGAGGTGTATCGCATGTTATCGTTGATGAAATTCATGAACGAGATGTCAATTCTGATTTCATTATGGTTGTACTTCGAGATATGATTCATATGTATCCAGACTTGCGAATTATTCTAATGTCGGCTACAATCGATACAACATTATTTAGTAATTATTTTAATAATTGTCCAGTAATAGAAATACCGGGCAGGTCGTACCCTGTAGAACAATATTTCCTAGAAGATTGTATACAATTAACAAATTTTGTACCGCCTATGGATTCCAAAAAACGGAAAAATCGAGATTCAGATGACTTACCAACAGAAGGAGAACCAGAAGAAAACTTAAATAAAGTTATCGACCCATCTTTCTCTATACAAACGAAGAATGCGATGGCACAGCTTACTGAAAAAGAGATAAGTTTTGAACTTATAGAAGCTCTACTGAAAAGTATTAAAGAACATGATACTCCAGGTGCAGTATTAATTTTTTTACCTGGTTGGAATTTGATATTTGCATTAATGAAGCATTTACAACAACATCCAATTTATGGAGGGTCGGGTTATGTGATTATACCATTGCATTCACAATTACCTAGAGAGGATCAACGCAAAGTTTTCGATCCTGTACCTCCAGGAATTACGAAAATTATTTTAGCAACAAATATTGCTGAGACCTCAATTACAATTAATGATGTAGTCTTTGTAATAGATTCTTGTAAAGCTAAAATGAAGCTTTTCACTTCTCATAATAATATGACGAATTACGCTACTGTTTGGGCTAGTAGAACAAACTTGGAACAAAGAAAAGGCCGAGCAGGTCGCGTTAGGCCAGGATATTGTTTCCACTTATGCTCCAAGGCACGTTTCAATAAAATGGATGAACATATGACTCCAGAAATGTTTAGAACACCTTTACACGAATTAGCTTTGAGTATTAAATTATTAAGATTAGGTAGTATTGGAAAGTTTTTATCGAAAGCAATTGAACCACCACCAATAGATGCAGTTATTGAAGCTGAGGTGATATTACGCGGTATGTTTTTCATTGGAAAGCACTTGATGCAAATATTTATCATTGATGTTTAAAGTGATTTACTTTATAAAAGGAATTATTTTATTTCAGAAATGAAATGTTTAGATGAAAATGATGAATTAACGCCACTTGGTAAAATATTGGCTCGTTTACCAATAGAACCACGTTTAGGCAAAATGATGATTTTAGGTTGTATATTTCGCGTTGGTGATGCACTTTCTACAATGGCTGCAAACAGCACAACATTTCCAGAGGTCTATAATATGGGACCTGACGTGAGACGCTTATCTACACAACAGAAATGGTTTGCTGGTGCAAGATTTAGTGATCATGTAGCAATGTTGCATGCTTTCCAAGCATGGGAAGAAGCTAGATCCGGTGGGGAATATGCAGAGCAAACATTTTGTGATTCGAAAAACTTAAGTCTGCCAACTTTAAGGGTTACATGGGAAGCTAAGGTAAATTTAAATGGTTATTATTTTCTAAATTCATAGAGGAATATTAATAATATTCTTTCTTTATAGAATCAATTACAAGCACTTCTGCAGAGTGCTGGATTTCCAGAAGAGACTCTTTGTCCTACACCATTAAATTATCAAGCTGGTGCGGACGTTCGCCTTGATACAATTACTGCATTGTTATGTATGGGTCTTTATCCAAATGTTTGTTATCACAAAGAAAAAAGAAAGGTGCTTACTACTGAATCCAAAGCAGCGTTAATTCATAAAACGTCGGTGAATTGTAGTAATTTTGAGCAAAACTTTCCATTTCCATTTTTCGTATTCGGAGAAAAAGTAAGATTGCTTTTTAAATTTAATGTAGTAATTATAATAGTAATATCAATTCAGTGTCAGAATAATATTAATTTACATTTATTTTGTAGATTCGTACAAGAGCAGTATCTTGTAAGCAAATGACTATGGTATCTCCCATTCATTTATTACTATTTGGTTCACGAAAGGTCGAGTTAGCCGATGGTGTAGTCAAATTAGATAACTGGATCAATTTAGATATGGATCCAAATCATGCAGCAACGATAGTAGCTTTACGACCAGCTTTAGAAAGTCTCGTTGTGAAAGCTGCAAAAGAACCAGAAACTATTTTAGAATTAAGTTCTAATGAAGAAAAAGTAACTGTTCTATAACTACTTTTCTTTGTAAATTTATAACCAAAATTATAAGCAATCAATTCATTTTTCTTTTTTTCTTTTTTTAGGTATTAAGCGTGATCAAATCACTATGTGGAATGAATGCCTGTCGGTATGAACTAGAACAGATTACAGGTGGTGGTTTTCAATCACGAAGGCCTCCAAGGGGACATGCGACTGGCTTTTATTCAGACAGTACTAGTCCTGCAAAAATGATGCGTGGAGGTGGTGGTTATCGTGGTG